CCCCCCCCCCCCCGCTTTACCCTACACAACAGGAGAGAAAATACCTAGAACGCTCCAGCCTTAGCTAGTGTCAGGAGTGATTCATTAGGCCCTGTCCTGGGGTACTGCTGGGACAGAGCTGGCGGTGTTTTGGCTAGGACTGTGGAAGGACCTTGGAACGTTGGGCTGGAGCAGCCGCCGAGTGTTGAGTTGATGAACTTTTGTTTGACCTTTGAAGATGATGTCGAGAGCGGTGCAGACAGTCGAGGCTCACAGGTTTCAGAAGGAAGTTGGGGAGTCCATCGAAGACTGTCAGTGCTGTTCCAAATCTTGAGCTTTAAGAATCTGTGGTTCTGCTCAGCTGGGCTGAAGAATTGGCTGTGGCTAAGAAGGGACCAGAACCACTAAGGTGAAACCTTTGCTTTATTACAACAATGGATGCTGATTTGCTGGAGGTGATTAAGAAAAGACCAGCATCACTGAGCATCATAAATCTGGGAGGATTTCCTCAGGCTCAGTCCATGGAAGCTGTGGGTCCTGAGGAGGCCAAGGCTGTACCTTATGCTGGCAGCTGAACTTGGTAATGTGTAAGAGTCCCCTTCCTGGCACCAATTTGGAGGCATCAAGGGGTCATGGAGAGCAGCCGAGACCTGACATTGTGAGAGGCCGGTAGAGGCCGTTGGTAAAGGTGAAGCCTCAGTTGAAAGCAGACGTCTCAGGATTAAGGAGTCAGAGAAAGTTGAGGCTTCGCACCATGTAGCAGGGGTGGAGTCCCCGAAGAGAGCCTGTGAGAGGCTGTTGGTGAAGTGGGAATTCCATTACCTGGGACGACCACCACGTACAGCGTCATTATGGAGTGGAGCTGGCCTGAGCCTGTGAGATGAGCTGTGTGTACTGTGGTGAACCCTTGGGAGCCTGGGAGGCTGTAATTGAATCCTAGAAGGCCGTAGACTGTTGGACTTTGTTTTACTTTGATCTGATTCTATGTCCTGATTCTTCTTGGAGTAAGAGAATATTTAACTTATTTTTCTATATTATAGGATCCCATGGTTAAGAGACTTGGGATAGTTTAGAAAGACTTTATATATTTCGAAGAGGCTTTGAACATTGATAGAAACATGGATATTTTTAAAGAGACTGAATTTTTGAAGACTGTGAGACTTTAAAAATTATTTATGTTTTTATGTTCTGATATTAATACTAATATGAGATTGTGGGGATGAACAAGAAAGGAAAGGTAATGGTTTACATAAGCCAGAGTCGTTTGGGAAGAGGGAACCTCAACTGAGAAAATGCCCCCACCAGTTTGGCCTGTGGTACATTTTCTTGATTGATAATTGATATGGGAAGGCCCAAGTCACTGTAGGTGGTACCACTGCTGGGCTGGTGGCCCTGGGGGCTGTAAAAAGCAGGTCACACAGCCTTGAGGAGTAAGCTAGTAGGAAGCCCTCCTCCATGGCCTCTGCTTCAGTTCCTGCCTCTGGGTTCCTGCCCTACTTGAGTTCCTGCGCTGACTTCCTTCTGTGGTGAAATGGATGTGGAAGTGTAAGTCAAATAAACCCTCTCCTCTCCAAGTTGCTTTTGGTCCTGGTGTTTTATCACAGCAATAGAAATGCTAACTAAGACAAACCCCAAGCTTCCTAAAGGTGGGGCTCCATTCCTAGCTATTTGGAGAATGCAAGCGGGATGGCCTGCTAGCAAGGGTGAGAGGTATAGAATTGACCTTCAGCTCCATGATGCCTCCTCTCTTTGACCTTTTCATCCCTGGGGTTCTCTTTTGCTTTCTTTTCTCTTTTTTTTTTTTTTTTGTTTTTTGTTTTTTGTTTTGGTTTTTCGAGACAGGGTTTCTCTGTGTAGCTTTGCGCCTTTCCTGGAGCTCACTTGGTAGCCCAGGCTGGCCTCGAACTCACAGAGATCCGCCTGCCTCTGCCTCCCGAGTGCTGGGATTAAAGGTACTTTCTTTTCTCTTACTTGGGTTGTCAAAATGGATTTTTTGCTCCCCATCATTCCCCTTTGTCTCATCCAAACTTGTCCTCTGAGAGGGGTCTGTGACATCAGTTCATAGAAGATATTAACTATTGATCAGGACAGTGTATCAGACATCTGGAAACTAAGTTTTAAAGACAAGCCAGTGGGGAGGCTTTAGCTGAAACACTGCATCACCCACAAAGACCCGCCACCGTGAACCGTGACCTCCGAGATGCCCATCTGACCACACCTTCACAATGTGGAATTCTCTCTCCTTAGGGATCCGCACTCTACACTGGAGATCTGCATGCTGTCAACATAGAGCAATGCTCCATGTGTGCTGTCTTAGCCGCCCCATCCAAGCCACTGAGCAGCCAGATTCTGGTGGACACCGAGAACATCATGGCCACCCTCAACATCCAATCCCTGCGGGTCAGCAGCCCTACCCAGAGGCCTTCAGAGCCAGGTCAGAACGACTCCCGAGGGGAAGAGCCTAGGGAGGGTGGGGTAAGGAAAGATAATTAAATCCTCCCTGAGCAACTTTCCTATGAAGATGGAGGAGGAGGAGGAGGAGGAGGAGAAGGAGGAAGAGGAGGAGGAGGTGGTAGTTAATTGGGACAGAAGTCACAGGTTTTCTGACTCTGACAATATTATGGTAGGAGTAACCCAGTTATCTCCTCTGGAATTCTAAGTCATATGAAAACCCATATCCGTCTTCAAGGTAGAATTCATATGTGCTGGTTTCCTGTTTTAAGAAAAAAAGCACTAAAATGTAAGAGGCATTATTTTTGCTGTTAATCTAATATTGGAAAGCATAGCAACTAAGGATGTTATTCAGTTATTGTTTTAAAACCTTAACTTTCTTTATAGGATAGAAAGATTTAGAATTTTTTATTCTATTTTTTTTTCTTTGAGACAGGGTCTCACTGTGTCCTGGAACATACTCTATAGACCAGGCTGGCCTTGAACTCACAGAGCTCTACCTACCTCTGCTCCCTGAGTGCTGAGGTTAAAGGTGTGCCCACCACACTCAGCCAAATGTTTTTAATAGCTAGTGATTTTCCACCTTTTATTAATTCAGCAAAAAAAGATGCCTATTTTCTGTGATGTATTAGTTTCTATATCAGGGCTGGAGGTTGGCCCATAATGCACCAGTTGATGGTGGACAGCCTCCTTTGGGTTTCCCCAGGTGACAGTTTTGGTTGTCGTAACTGGAGAGCTGCTACCATCTCTTGGTTAGTTCACCCATGCTGTTTGTTAAACTTTCAGTGCACAGGGCAGCCCCACACTAAAGGTCCACAGGACCGAGATTGAGGAAGCTTGCCCCTCATGTCTGGTGAGCCTTTTATAGGGTCGGGAAATCTTCGGCATCTTGACATTCTGATGGAAACTCACATAGGAAACCAGCCTAACCTTTCCGTAGAGATTCATCTCGGGAGGTTGGGGTTGTGGGGATGGAAGTGAGGAATCTCCAAAGGATCCGTAAGAGCACCAGACTTCCTGGACATGTCCGTGGGAAGCCTGAAGGGTTGCCGGTCATGCTCTGATTACTACCCTGCCATATTGCGTGGGGAACAGGTTGACAAATCTAGACAGTGCAGGACTCTGATGGTTACCTCCTCCACATCAAAGACTAGTCCTTACAGAATTCCAAGGCATTCCTGGGAAAGGCAGGGTTCTCAGAGGCGGGTGCCGCTCGGCTCTGAGGAGCGGAAAGGAGACACAGCAGTATCCTCCAGAGGATCTTGAAGCGTCAGATAGTATTAGGGGCCAGAAGCCCATTGTGGGGTCTCCAGAAGCACACCTGAAGTGACAGTGTCAACTCAGTAGTAGCGTCTTAGAAGTAATATAAGTATATTAATGTGGCTGAGATATTACTCAAACACTAATACCTTACTAGTCAGAGACTTTTGTCACATACACACACACACACACACACACACACACACACAAAGAGTAGAGACTGAATACAGTTGACCCTCTGAACTGTGGGTTCTGCATCTGTGGATTTATCCCCAACCACAGACAGAAGGTATTCCAGGGGAAAGGCATCTATAGTAAACATCTAAACATTTACAGACCTTCCATCGCTATTGTGTAAACATTATTCTAGCCATTTACATTGTAGTAGGGGTTAGCGGCCATCTGAAGTTAGGTAGGGTATTTGAGAGAATGGGCACCAGAGATATGCACATAATTGGCATTTTCCAGGAAAAGGCTTGAGCTTCCAAGGATTGGCACTTACAGGGACTCCACTCCCTGGAGATACCAAGGGACAATTATAGTCGACTTTTTTATAAATACAGAGAGAATTTGGGCTTTGGACCAGAAAGTAACTTTGCTGAGCTTAAGCCCTGGGTTACATAGTGTTACTGTATATCCAGCCAAGGTTTGCGAGCTGTTCATTTGTTCTCATCCTCTCTTGGTTGTCTGCAGAAGCCAAGGCTGTACCCACCTTTAGTAAACATGATGGGAAAAGAAGGTACCAGCAGATCCCCATTCTCACTGAACTGAGTAAGTTGCCTTAGAAGCGGAGTATTCAAGGGAGAGATTTTTATGGCGCCTCAAGTTCTTTCTAGAATCCACAGTCAGAGGACCAGGGAACCAGAACGGGGCCCAGAAACCTTTTGGTGCTATCTGGATGCCCACTGGGCTTCTACCCAAATGGAGACATCGTCCACGGAAGTCTGTTCCAAGCAACTGAAGCGGCACCTGTCAGTCTACTCGCTTAGAGACGGCCGCAAACTTAATGCAGATCTTGTTTCTTCTCTTTAACTGTCTCTGACTCCCAGGATATAACAGTTAAACATATAAGTAGAAGGAATGGTACATTCAGGGGGTGGGGAGGTGAGGAGGTATGTTCCACCACTCAGCAGGGACCACAGGCTTTGTTAAGCCCAAGACCTTCTGGAGACAGACGCCCACCACCGCTTAACTAACAAGTCACCTGCTCAGTCTTTGCTCTTCTTTGCTGGAAAGGGTCAGGCTGAAATGGGAGCCTCGGCCTGGCTTTGGTAGAGCGTATGCACCCTGTGGGAGAGTCGGGAGGAATTTGGGGGCCTCTGGTTTGAATGACCCAGCAGAATTCAGGCAAAGTCTTCTGGTGTGTGTATGGACAGGTTAGAGGACACCATGGGGCAGGAGGTCCTCTCCTCTCACCACATGGGTCCCAGGGATCAAACCCAGGTCATCAAGGTTGGCAGCAGGTGTCTTTACCCACTGGGCCATCTCTCTAGACCCCACTTTGTTTTTTGAGACAGGGTCTCTCGTTGGCCTGGAGCTCACCAAATGAGCTAGTGCAACTGTCCAGAGAGCTCCAGGGGCCCGTCTGCCTCCATAACCCCAGCACTGGGGCATAAGCATGGTTCGCCAGGCCCAGCTTCTCCTCGTTTTATTTATTGTTATTATTGTAATTTGTGTGTATGGGTGTTTTGCCTGCATGTCTGTGTATCACACGCATGCCTGGTGTTCACAGAGGCCAAAAGAGAGTGTGGGATCCCCTGGAACTGGAATCCCAGACAGTTGTGAGCCGCCATGTGGGTGCTGGAACATGAACCCGGGTCCTCTGGAAGAACAGCCAGTGCTGTTAACCCCTGAGCCATCTCTGCAGCCCCATGGTGCCCTTAAAAAAAAAAAAAACCCATAAATTCTAGGCTGAAATGGCTCTTCCCGAGCGTGGGGCAAGCACTGTACTGATTGAGTTACCACAGAACAGCACAAAGTCGCTGAGGCACGCTCCGCCAGAGAGCTTCGCTGTGCCAGGGAGGACTGAGCTGAGGACGGCAGGCAGCCATCTCTCATCCTCCCGTGTGTGTGCGCTGGCCTTGCCTTTGCATCTTGTCTTACAGAGAATCCCTCCAACATCCACTTCATTGAGCAGATCGGAGGACTGGACGGGGCGCTCAAAGGGGCTAGCCTGCACCTCAGCACTTCCTTCTCCACGGGCACTGTCTTCTCAGGCAACTTCTTGGATTCGCTTCTGGCCACGGTAGGTGCAGCTGAGTCAAGAGTCCCCTTGAGCAAGCCCCTCACAGAGAGGCCACTGCTCACAGTTCTAACCTCTTTTTTTTTTTTTTTTCCTTTTTCGAGACAGGGTTTCTCCCTGTAGTTTTGGTGCCTGTCCTGGATCTCACTCTGTAGCCCAGGCTGGCCTGGAACTCACAGAGATCCGCCTGCCTCTGCCTCCCCGAGTGCTGAGATTAAAGGCATGCGCCACTGCCACCTGGCTCTAACCTCTTATTAATTTTCAAAAAGGCAACTTCACAGGCATTATTTCGTCTTTTCAAATTTTCCAGATTACAATCTTGCAGTCTTGCCTGGGGGGGGGGTCCTAGATGGCTGGGAGGATGGGTACCAAACATGGATCTTGGAATTCATCTGGGCAGACCAAGTATTAGAACTCAGTAGGTCACCCCAAGAGTTCATGTAGAAATCACCATGGGGGGGGGCGCTGGAGGGATGGCTCAGAGGTTAAGAGCACTGGCTGCTCTTGCAAAGGTCCTGAGTTCAATTCCCAGCAACCACATGGTGGCTCACAACCATCTGTAATGAGATCTGGTGCCCTCTTCTGGCCTGCAGGCATACATGCAGGCAGAACATTGTATACATAATAAATAAATAAATATTTTTTTTAAAAAAAAAAAGAAAGAAAGAAATCACCATAAGGGGACCCAGGACTTCCAAGGGGAAAGGCTTGGCCTTGGGTAGGAGCATGAGGTTTGCTCAGCTCCAAGCCAAATCTCTCTCTGCATTGCTCCTCTCTTGGGATCCATTTGAAGTGCCCGGTGATGATGGTTCAGTAGTTCTTTAGCCGTAAGTAGATCCTTGGCATCCATCACAGGATTCCCTGAAGGAGAATCCATTCTGAAATAGCGAACACCTGTACTGTGCTGGGCACTGTGCACGAGACAGCAGAGCCCGACTCGAACATGGATCACAAGGTCAAGGGCTGGGGGAGAGGAAAATATGGGGCTTGGGGGGAAGGGGTTCCAATTTATAAAAAAAAAAAAACAACCAAGAATAAATATTCTAAAGCCCATGGTGAGGTCTATGGGAAAGAGACAAGGCCACGAAAGTGTTCCTATAGAAGTGTTCAGCACATGAGGTCAAAAGCAACACTGGCCACCGACCAACCCCTAAGATCCCCTAGTACTACATGTTTAACTTAGGACTGTGTCTTGGCTAAATGGATGAGGGGTGAGCAGTAATGGAGTATCAGTGCAGACAGCATCTTTATGCTAAGGAGGTGAGTTTGCATCTCGAACCACCAGACACACCCACCTGGTGCCTTCTCTTCCAGCTATTCAATCTTCTTTAAAATTTTATTTATTTTTCAGTGTGTGTGTGTGTGTGTGTGTGTGTGTGTGTGTGTGTGTGTGTGTGTAAGTGCAGTCCCTCAGAAGGCACAAGAGGGTGTTGGATCCCTTGGGACTGGAGTAACAGATGGGTGTGAGCCACCATGTGGGTGCTGGCTATTGAACCCGGGTCCTCTGCAAGAGCAGCCATTGTTCTTAACCGCTGAGCCATCTCTCCAGCCCCATGGTGGAATTTTTGGAATACCTTTTGTATACTATCCTGTTATCTGCAAAGAGGGATAATTTGATGGTATTCTCCATTTGTATCCCTTTATTTTCCTTTTTTTTTTTTTTTTTTTTTTTTTTTTTTTTTTTTTTTGCCTTATTACTCTATCTTCTAGTCCAGGCGTTGTACTGAAAAGGAGTCTGGATACTGGACAGTCCCGTCTTGTTCTTGATTTTAATGGTATTGCTTTGTTTTTCTTCCATTCAGGATAATGTTGCCTGTGTTTGTCATATATATCCTTGATTAAGTTTAGGTAAGTTTCCTCCAATCCCATTCCCCAGGACGCTTTTTGTCATGAAGGCATGTTGAATTTTCTGCATCTATTGAAATTATCATGTGATTTTTGTCTTTCCTTTTTTTTTTTTTTTTTTAGCTGAGGATCGAACCCAGGGTCTTGCGCTCACTAGGCAAGCACTCTACCACTGAGCTAAATCCCTAACCCGTGATTTTTGTCTTTAGGGCCATTTATA